AGGTACCATCGAGTTGGGTCTGACCCATAGCAACCCTGTGCACAACAGAATGGAACCCCACCCGGACCTGAGCCACCCGAACCCATTGTTTCTATTCTTGAGCCCATTGTTGCAGCCCTGGTGTCAGCCCGTCACAATGAGGGCCTTCCCCTCTTTTGCTTGCACGTCCTGCCCCACCCCCACCCCCTTCACCAAACAGGATGTCCTTTTTTAGCTACTGGCCTGTCAGATTGTCTTTCTCCGATACCTACTTAAAATACCTACTTCAGGGTATATTCCAGAACACACCTTAGTGAACTTCCCTTTTTACTTGATTGATTGCCCTACACCAACATTGCCTTAAAAACTCCCCAAAACTGCCTGTGTGTTTCCTGTAACTCTTAATGGGAGCAGAAAGCCTCGCCCATCTTCCTCGAAGTGTCTGGTGGGTTTGAATTGCTGACCTTTGATTAGCAGCACAGCATGTAATCCACTGTACCACTGAGGCTCCTAACACACTGACAGTACACAACAACAGCACACACACACACACACACACTGCCACCGAGTCCATTCCAACCCAATCCAGCATTTCTGAGACTAAATCGTTGGGGGAGCAGGTAACCTCATTCTTTTTTCTTTCAGATTGACCGTTGGGCTTGAACTGCCAACCTTGTGGGTAGCAGCCCCCAACATGTAACACCTAGGACCACCAGGTGGTGGCGTCCCATCTCTGTTAGATTACCTTATGGGACAGCAACTAGACTAGTGTGTGGGGGAATGACTGGGGCCCATAACGTAGCCCAGCTGGCACACCAAATTGACCACCACACCAGATTGGCACCAACTTGCGATAGGAGCCTTGTTGGCACAGCGGTTAATGCTTGGCCACAAACTGAAAGGTCAGTGGCCGGAAGCCACTAGCTTCTACACAAATAACAGCCTTGGAAACCTTCTGGGCCAGTGCTCCTCAGGCCTTTAGGGGCCCCATGACTTAGAGCCAAGCAAAGGCGTGTTTTCCCAAGTGCAAAGCCCAGCTTTTGCTCCTGTGGCCTGCCCCTGCAGTGCTGTGTCAGATGTCTGGACAGCTCCACTTGAGGTGTGGACTGTGGCATTTCGCAAATGCCTGGATCCAGAACCTCTTGGCTTGAGAGTCTCCTCAAACCTGTATCCCATGCCGTGCTTCTTCTCCTGGTCGTCTCCAAAGTGTGGTCTTGTTCTGACCGAGAGAGACTAGACCAGAGGAGGCTGGCGGTAAGGGCTGCCAGACACACCGATCCTGGGCCCGGGGGCAGCGGGGTGGAGGAGTGCTTGTCCCAGAGAAGTGGCGGGAGGGCAGAGAGCCAACAAGCTCAGGCCGTGAGTGTGGAGTGCAGGGGCATGCAGACCCCGCTCTGCCTGGCCCCGAGCCTGTGACCCTGTGACCCTGTTCCATGTGGATGTGCTCCCGGGCGCAGGGCATAGTCATCACTCTAGGGAGTTCTCCTAGCTTTGGACCTGTGATCTGAGTGTGCTGTGATTCGCTGGCCATGCTCATGAAACAGCCTCATGAGGAGAGACTGGCAAGTGGGTTGGAGGAGCGCTGTGTCCCAGCCCTCTGTGCCCTTGGTTCGGCTGCTGGTGGCTTTGGTTCGTCACCAGCCAGCAGTTCCCTCCCCCCCTCCACCCCCGAGCTTGTTGCCCTCGCAGGAGTACTTAGCTCTGCACTAGTCAGATAACCCCTTTAAATCCAGGGCATCTATGACTGGCTGAGCAGGTCACTGCTGTTGGTGAAGGGGGAAATTGGACCTTCGCTTAAGGGCGGGGCAACTGATGGAGGCTGCCCCTCACTTCCCGGGTGCCTCTAAACCCCACCATTCAGCTGGTGACCCCAGAGGGACTTCTAGATCAAAGCTGTGGGGCCCTTTTGCGGGGGTAGCCTCATGTGGAAAGGGATTTGACATCAAGGCCTACTTCCTGTTGAAGGAGTCATGAGGGAGCTCTTTGCAGAAGTACAGCCACCCACCCACCCACCCTCCTGCAGGACCCAGAGCTCACACAGCAGCATTCCAGACAGCCAGACCCTTGGCCACCACCTGGCTGCTCCCGCACATGCCACCTTCTATCCTGATTGCCGCCTCCTCCAGGCCCTGAGGCACAGTGTCCACACAGCCTGGTGCAGAAGTCTCCCAGCCTCTGCTCTGCAGCTGGCTCCCACTGCTGACTGTACACACACACACACACACACACACACACACACACACACACACGCGCGCGCTTGTACCTGCACACTTGTGTGCGCAGCCAGGCACTGATGATCTCTCTCCTGCAGTCTTCACCACCTGCAAGATTCTAAAGGATCCAGCTTAAGTTACACCCAATAGTTTTTCTTGCTGCTGCTTTCCATGCAAACACCAGTTGACAAAGTGGTTTCTGGCGCCCTGTCTTTTTTTGGGCGTCATGGGTTCTTGTTCAGACTCTTCAGGGTGGTGAGGGCCAGGGGAATGTGCCAGCTGCCTGGCCCACGGCCGAGTGGGGGCCCACAATCAGGAAGGAGGCTGCTTTCTGGGTGGCTCCCACCCACACTGAGGCCAGAAGTGAAAACTTCCCTCCTGAAATTGGCTCTGCTAATTTCTGTTTCATTGAGTGCCACCGGGCCTGAGGAGAGGGCTCAGCGGGATGCTGAGGAGGGGCAAGGGCACTTCTTGCTGTGGCAGGGTTCACACCAGGGTCCTGCAGGGTGACGGCTCCTTCGGTTTGGGGGACAATGGACAGGGAGGCAGCCCCCTTGAAAGCATGGTGTGGTGATCCCAGGGCAGGCAGGCGGACAGGGAGCTGGGGCTTGCCCTGTAGCTGCTCAAGTCCCGCATGGGGCAAATCACCCAGAGGACAGGGGAGGGCGGCCACGTGGGGTTTCCTAGGTGGAAAACCTTTGCAGGAGCAGAAGTATCATCTTTCTCCTGTAGGTCCACTAATGGCTCAAACCGCTGACCTTGCAGTTAGCAGCCCAGGCTCCCGAGGGCGGGGTTTCATTGGGCATGCTTGGTCTGCCTCTTCACCGGGACACATTGGTGGCAGAGACCTGGGCCAGGCCTGTGATGAGGGAGTGAGACAGGGGAACTGGTACCGCTGGCGCAGATCTTAGGGTCAGGTGCCTGGAGGCAATCTCCGCCCTGCAAGACCACCTTCCAGCCTGACTTTTGTGCTCAGAGGTGCAGCACATCCGGGCTTGCCGGGCCCCAGGCTCTGAGGTCTGGGAAGCAGAGCCCACACAGGTGGGCCCTTGCCGAGTGACGTGTCCTGGGCAGCAGCCCAGCTGGAGAGGGGGTGGGGTAGCCTCCAGGCTGCCAAACGAGACATCACGTCATCTCGCATCTTCCTTTCTCCGCTGGCCTGGACACCCGGCCTCTCAGGTGGTCTTGGAATGCAGTGGCTCCAGTCCCGATGCCAGCAAAGTAAAGTATGTCGCCACTCCACCCCCTCACTCCCGCTGTACGGGTGAGCAAGCTGCGACTTCCAGACTCCAGCTCTGCTTCTACCCTGGTGATGAGGGGCCCGGCCCTGCTCTGAGCCCTCAGGGCAGGCTGCTGGTGAGCCGTGGGGGACCCGAGACCCAGGCCCTCATGCCTCCTTGCCGTCCCCCAGGACCTACTTGGAGGAGGAGCTCACCAAGGCCCGAAAGAAGCCCAGCCTGCGGAAGGACATGTACCAGAAGATGATCGAGGTGGACCCTGAGGCCCCCACTGAGGAGGAGAAGACCCAGCGGGCTGTCACCAAGCCACGCTACATGCAGTGGAGGGAGACCATCAGCTCCACGGCCACCCTCGGGTTCAGGATCGAGGGCATCAAGGTGAGCTGGGGAGGGAGCCGTGAGGTCTTCGAGCTTGCCTGTACTCAGTGCAGGGTCCCCGGGTCTGGGCAGCCAGCCCCAGGGGCAGGCCTTTGAGGACACTGGTTCCTGACCAGTCTGAGGTCAGGTGGCATGGCCAGGCAGGGGGCTGGGCCTTGCAGGACTGGAACACCAGGGCTTGCTTCTAGCCCTTCCCTGCAGTCACTCACGTGGCCCCTATACCTCACCAGGCTGCACCCTGAGACAGCATGCAGGCCCAGCTAGCAGGGTGCCGCTGAAGAAAGTGGCGCCCTCTGCCCGTAGCCCACTCCGGGGGTTGCTGGCACCTTGGGAGAACATATTGGCCGCCTTTCATGTCTAATCTGTGGTCCTTGCTCTGCCTGAGGAAGCACTTCCCATCAGTGAGACCAGTGACACATGCCAGGGCTGCTATGCTTAGGCCACTCTAGTTCGTCTCTGGGAAGCCTCGCCCTCTTCTTGACTCGAGGGTCCCCTGCGCAAGCTCTAGAGGGTGCCCACAGCCAGGCCAGTTTGCGTGAGCTCCCTCGGCCCCTTGTACCCAGTGCAGGCTGACATGCGATGTCAGTGGCTTGCAGCCTCGCCAGTGGCTTGTAGCCTCAGGGGACAAGCTATTTGCCTTCCCCCAAGACCCAGGAAGCCAGTCTCTTCCATCTTCCGAAACCTGTGACATGTAAACTGATATGGTGAGGGCGTCTGATGACCCTCCCCACTCCTGCCCCCTGGGGGAATCCCAAGCCCAGGTCCCACAAGGTCAGCAGCCCAAGCCCGGGTCCCATGAGGGGCAGGCCAGACATCCCTTCTCTCTCCAGCCCATGACCCCTGAGTGAGGGCGCTGCTTTCCACCCTAACCATCTTGTAGTCCACTGGCTGCCCCGTCATTGGTTCTAGTGTGTGAGGCCGCATCCTGGTGGGATACTGGGCCTGCACTGAGAGTCCTGGCCAGGCCAAGTGGTCACACAACCTCAGCACCACAGGGTACCTGCAGGAGAGCCTCAGCCTGGGTGGGCTTGACTGCCCTCCCCTCCCCAGCCCACCCCATCCCGCCCCCAGCCTTCAACCCTGCAGGCAAACCCCACTGCCATGGAGGTGATGCCAACCCAAGGGTAGAACTGCCCCTGTGGGTTCCTGAGATTGTAACTCATTACGGGAGCTGGTGACCGAGGGCCCGGCGGACATGCAGGGCTCTTGGCATCATTGGGCGGTGCCTACAGCCAACCAAGAAGTTGACCGTTGGAATTCACCCCGAGGTGTCTCGGAAGAAAGGTCTGGCCACCTGTTTCCAAAAGCTATACTCCAGCCCAGCACACCTTCCAGCGGGACACGCTCTGCTGTGACCCCCACAGGGTCACCTCAAGTCATCATCGACTCTCGACTCGGGCCTTCTGTTTTCAGAACAAAGTATGTTCAATGACACAGGAAGTCGAGTGGGCCCCAGGGGGGCAGCTGTGGAGTCCCACAAAGTCCTGCAGTTCAGGGCCGAGACTTCTCCCACACTGCACTCTTTCATTCTGCCCAAATGTCCCCTTGCCAAGCCAGGCTTTCCCAACCACCCCTCTGCCTGGGATGATATCGTCACTCTCGGTCTTCCTGTCTCGGAGCAAGAAGGCCGGCACCCTGTGCTGTGTGAATGAGCCGGTTCTGTCAGGGGCCCCTCCCACTGGCTGCGGCAGGCCTTGCTGTTTCTGGTGGCCTTTCTTGCTCCCAGGATGGTGCAGGCCAGCCCCAGGGCCGGGTGCTCCCTGGTCAGTGCTCGGGCCACTGGAGGGTGAGCGCTGCCCGTGGGTCTTCTCCTGACCCTGATCCTGGGCGCGGGGGTTCTTGTACATCTCAGAAGGAAGATGGCTCTGTGAACCGGGATTTCAAGAAGACCAAGACGAGGGAGCAGGTGACAGAGGCCTTCAGAGAATTCACGAAAGGAAACCAGAACATCCTGGTGAGTTGGGGGGACGGGAGAGGGCATCCCAAGGCGGGGTAGGGGCCACTTCAGGGTCAATCAGAGGGAGAACTAGGCCCAGCTTTCCTGAAAAGTCCATGTCCACACCGAAAACCCCCGGCCCTCACTTCTGCTCGGAAGGTGAGAGGACCACCCGACGTGGCTGTCAGGCTGGCTCCGTGACCTCTCAGCGTCACACCACCCTTCCAGCTTACTCTCCAAATCAGGGGCCCGGAGATTTGGGTTCAGGAAGACGCCACAGCAACCAGGCGTGCTGCTGGCCTTCCAGACCAAGTCACCCATCCTGTGGGGACACCCCTCCCCAGCCAGGCTCAGCTGGAAAAGCACCGGCCAGACCCACAGGGCTGCCTCTTCTCGCCCCCGAGGCCTGCCTCTCGGATGTGGAATGGGGCCGTGTGCCACCAACTTTGCACCCAGTCCTAGGAGCTAAAAATCCACCCCACCCACCCAACCCCTCCCCAGTAGCATGTGAAACTTGGGTCCTTTTCTGTTCCCAGATTGCCTACCGGGACCGGCTGAAGGCCATTCGAGCCACCCTGGAAGTGTCTCCTTTCTTCAAGTGCCATGAGGTAGACATACGTGGATGCTCTGCACTCTGGGGCCGAGAGCCATGTCGCAGGCAGCTGGCCTGGGCTGCAGGGTCTGTCCCCCTGTGGGTTGGGTGTACACCCCAAAACCTACCCAGCCCAGAAGTCCAAGGCTGCTGCTTTTGGGATAACTGAGGTCGTGGGAAAAACTCGTCGCCGCCTTCAGGAACTGAGCCACAAGGCTTCCAGGAGTGCCCACGTGCAGTTCCTGCCTGAGCCCCACCCCTCCGTCACGTCACGGGCCGCCGCTGCCATCTCTGCCTCCTCCTCCTCCCCCACAGCTCCTGAGGCTTCTGTTCTGCACACACAGGGTCTCCAAGCAGATGCTCCCTGAGCTGCTAGAGTAGCCATAGCCCCCCCTTTCCCTTCTCCACCCTGAGACCTCCAGACTCTGGCCAAGGCAGGCTGCTCTTCAGCCCTCGTGGGGCAGGGCGGGACCATGCCACCTGCATTCCCTCACCCTGCCTGTGAGGGGGCAGCAGGCATCCCAAGAGAGAGGGAGGCGCTGGGGATTGGCAGCCTGTCCCTGACAGTTTTGTAAGATCTCAACACCAGGTATCCAGGGACCCTGGCCCCCTGCATGCCTACATACCACCCCCCACCCCTATGCAGAGAAATGGTCAGTGTCAGGGCTGTGGGCTGGCCAAAGCAGGGCTCTCACCACTCCTGCAGACTTCCAACTCTTTCCAGAAGACACCCCTGCCCTGCACTTGCGCTGTACATGGGCCCCTAGCCTGAGTTCTACCTGGTCCAGGTCCCCTGTGGGGAGTGGGAGGGGGGTTGGCGCACACATAAGCTCTGTGCACATTGCCCACAGCCCCTTCCTCTAGCAGTTCCAGCGACCTTATCGCCCTTGGATTTTAGCCCCCTTTGCCCCTCAGCTAGGGTCTGCCCTGCTCTGCCTGTGGTGAACTGCAGGGCCTTGCTGTGAAGACCCGGCAAGGGGGTGCTGCCTCTGCTCTGCCTTCTCCCTGCCCACGGCTCTCCTCATCCTTGGGAAAGCCACTGTCTCAAGATCCCCAGCTCCTCCAGGGCCCCTGGGTCCTGGCCAGATGAAAGGCCCTTGTGCAGCCTATGGGAGCCTTCCCAGCCCTCTGTGCACAGAGACTTCAGGTCACAGGGTCAGTGGCCCAGGCCCCATGTTAGCTCCTAGCCCCAAGACCCCTGACCTCCACGCATAGGGCCACAGCACCCCTGATAGCCTCGAAGCCCCAGGCTTTCTCTGTCAGACAGCCTTGTGCTCCCTTCTCACTTTTGCTTATGTTTCACGAGGAAAGAATACATAACCATATTTACATTTTTAAATAGGATTTTGTGTAATTAGATACACATTTATCATTATTTTCATGTAATATATAT